CGAAAGGCCGAGCTAAGTTAGGTAGCATTCCTTATTAGAACGAAACACGAACAATTCACACGATTCATGATCAATAATTATTTTGCATACCCACATTCAATTCCTTATAAGCAGATGTTCGGATAAAACGTACCTCCCTCCCCTCACCTACCCCACCCATTCCGACCATGTGTGTACTTTTCCAATGAATTCTCACATACCATGCGATGAATAATGCTCGCAGCTTCTATTGGCATTACTTTGTCCCAAACTGATCTTTCACACAAGCTTATCAATCCGCAGCTACAACAATTCAGAGCAGCGCCGACTACTGTTGGTAAGCAGCAAGTACAATTCGCCTGAGCTGCAGAAAAATTGCAGATGCTAGATTCATATGCTTCATAACTCCTTTACGCATCGAGGCGCTAAAGCATTAGCTCAAAATGCAAAATTGTTCAAATGGTCAAAGGCACTAACGTCGATGCTGAAGAACATACCTCAAATTTTCCCGCAGTATCGGGTGTCAAGCCTGATGAAAGCTTGGTGAGAATAAGATCGAAACCTAGATCACATATTGTCCGTGGGCTCGTTCGGAGAGAATCCGTCGGGGCTGAAAACTAACTATTTTGTTTTGATTTATGCATAATAGAATCAGCAGACAAATGGCAATATATCTAGAAGAAGCATTTAGATGAACAAAAGAAGTGAAGCTCATTTTGTAAGAACTCTACAACTCTGTTCAGGAGTGATCGAATAAATCCGGAGAAACGTTCAGGTGCTCCCACATCAAAGTGCAACTGCAGATACTCCCGTACAAAGACAGCAACACACGAAGAATGCAGATAGGTAGTTGTAGAAGCTAGATGTTTTTTAAGACTGCATCTCACACTCTAGCAATGACCAGAAAAAAATCAGAAAATTGATGTTTTCTAACACTTTTAATTTGAGAGTTTCCAGGTCATTCTTAGAAGAATTTTTGCGATTCGACAGGCCTCCAACAAAAAGATTTTGCGAACTTTGCGCTATACAAATCACAAAAACATAATGTTATATAGATATTTTTGGAGGTCGATCTACAGTTAGCAATCTACATGGTGATTTTATTGCTACTGGAAACAACTGCTTGATAGAGAAAGAAAAGCTGCATCGATCGCGATTTATTGTTAGACCAGTCACTAGTTGCTCCGCGGCGCTTCTTGTGAGACGAAAAACTATCGTAACGACCCAATAATTCGATCAAGTAGTCGCCAGCATGAAGTTTGTTTAATCAATTGTCACAAATGCAGGACATGAACGTCCCGAAACTATCGCAACAACCAGTTGTCAGAGGATGATGTCAAATAAAGCGAAGTTTTCTAGAGACTTTATAACTGCGAAGACCTTGTGAAAGAAACTCAAAAATTAATCAGATGGAAATCAATCCAAAAGTACAAAAGGTGGGGAACAAACCTATTGAGAATGAACTCTGTGGAAAATTGCTATGATGAAGAACATAATTATGTTGGATGCAGCTTTGAAGCTGAAACAACCTTTTTTGAAAAAATATCAAGGAAGGAACAAATTGAACAAAACCGCAAAGGCTTACCTTATCATTGGGAATATAAGGCAGACAGTCAACAGTGAATGTGCCGATTTGCTCCGCACCACCGCCTTCTAACAAACGCTCCACTTCTTTCGCTGTCTTCTCGTGTTCGAATACCCATGATACACCCATACAGGCTGTCAGAACCAAATACAGCGGCCAGAATTATATGCAGAGCTTTCATTATGGAACTTTGAGGTAGGAATGAAAAGCCGACCAGTCTAGACTGATGAAGAGCAACATCTACAACACTTTACTTATCCAATCAATCGAGTAATTCACATTAATTTTTTCCACGTTCACAAACAGGTTCGACACATTAACGCAAGCCAGAAATAACGCTGGTATCGACAATGTTTCGGGGAGACTGATAACGAACCTAGACAACTTGAAAATAACAACAACGGAAGACAATCAATGTGATCGAAAGGCCATGAGACCAGCGAAACATAAACAACAACAAAAGACATGATACGATTGGGATGAGAAGAAAGTTCTGCAGCGAATATGCTGAGAATTTCGTTTTGAAATTTTGTAAGAATCTTAACTATCTTATTACCAGTTCAATATGTTGCATGAATAATAACAAAAACTTTAGAGCACCATTATAAGCATCAAAATTTCGAAAATCATGATCTTAAGAAAACAACAAACCTGTGGTTAAAAGCGTGGATCAAAATGCCGCTTTTTATTGAATTTTTCACCAATTTCAAAGATAAAGTTCCAAAACAAAGCTAACGCAGGGCATTTCTTCACTAGCTCATATTGCGATCTTCACACAATTTTATGTTTTGAGAGCGTCAAAAAATTGATGAGCTCCGAAAAAATATCGAAACATTACTTTTGAAGGTAGTAAAGAGCAAAAAATTTTATGAATTACTATTTCAGTCTCCACTCATGCAAGGGCTTTTTTGAATTATTAGCATGATAACAAATATTTATATAGTGTGGAAAACAGAGCACGACATGTGTAAATTCAGATATGAAAACCGGAACAGCCCGCTAAACTTCCTTTCTTGAACCGAGGGTATCAGTTCATGTGACTTCACAAATTTCTCTTTTTCTGTAAACGGAACTAACGTCTAAAATTGGAACAAGATTTCGTCTATTTTCTGTAAATTAGAGATGACAACACATGTTGCATACAACGTTCTTCAGTAATGTTTCAGATTCGGATGTAGCCTTAACGAAAACTACTGAGAGGTAAGTAAGAATGAGCAGAGATTGAGTAAGGCACATCATATTCATA